CGAGCAAATCGGAGGATAGGCCGAGAAAGAGAACTAGGCCGGACGCGATCCTCCTGAAACCTGCGCAAGGCAAATCTTACGCAGACATGTTCGGAGCTATCCACCAGCGCATCAAGACCAGCGCCGCAGGGGTAGACGTTAGATCGGTCCGGCAGACCAGAACCGGAGGGGTTCTCCTCGAACTAAAGAAGACCACCGTGGATATCAGGGCCTCATTCGCGGAAACCCTGAGAAAAGAGGTAGGAGAAACGAGCAGCATCACGTAACTGGTCCCTAGAGCTACACTGGAGATACGGGACTGTGACTGCTGCACCTCGTCGATAGAAGTCGAGGAGGCCCTAAAGAGGACCCTTCCAGGCTACGCAGGGAAAATCGAAATTAAGATGACGAACCCCAACGCAAGACAACAACGCCTGGCCCTCGTCAAAATAGAAGAGAAAGCAGCTGCGCAGCTTTTAAATGCCGGTAGAGTGCTGATTGGTTTCATCAGCTGCAGGGTCAGGAGAAGGGCAGAAGTGAGGCGATGCTTCCGCTGTCTCGACTATGGTCACTATAGTACCTCGTGCAAAGGACCTGATCGCAGTAAAGTTTGCTATTTTTGTGGCAGCACGGGGCACAAGATCAAAGAGTGCAACGTCAGCGAGCCTACTTGCTTCTTGTGCTCAAAGAGCGGTGTTGAAACTACGAAACACCTGGCGGGATCAAGGGTACTGCAAAGCTTTCCAGGAGGCCGTTGCAACAGCAAAGAAGTAGAAAAAAAACAAAAGGATGAGAGTACTTCAGGGTAACCTGAATAGGGGAATTTTTTTAACGGTTAGTGCATAAACGCTGGCATTCTCAGACCATCAAAAAAAAAAAATTTTTGTTATTTTTATTATTGTTATCATTGTTATTGTTATTATTGATACTGTTATTGTTATTATTATTTTATTATTATTATTATTGTTATAGTTATTGCTATTATTATTATTAGTGTTATTGTCATTATTATGATTAATGTTATTATTATAATTTTTATTATTATTATTATTGTTATAGTTATTATTATTATTATTGTTATTGTCATTAATATATTCATTATTATTGTTATTGTTATTAATATTATTACTGATATTATTATTATAATTATTAATGTTATTGTTATTGTTATTATCATTATTATTGATATTATTATTATTATTGTTATTGTTATTAAAATTATTATTGTTACTGTTATTGTTATTAATATTGTTATTGATATTGTAATTATTATTCTTATAGTAATTATTATTATTATTGTTATTGTTATTAATATTATTCCTGTTATTGTTATTATTATTATTATTGCTATTTTTATTATTATTGTTATTGTTATTGTTATTATTATTGTTATTGAAATTACTATTGTTACTGTTATTGTTATTATTATTGTTATTGTTATTGTTTTTATTATTGTTATCGTTATAATTATTGTTATTATTGTCATTGTTATTAATATTATTCCTATCATTGTTATTATTATTATTATTGTTAATTTTATAATTATTGATATTGTTACTGTTATTATAATTGTTATTGTTATTATTATTACTATTGTTATTGTTATTATTATTATTATTTTTATTGTTATATTTATTATTATTGTTACTGTAATTATTATAATTTTTGTTATTGTTATTATTATTGTTATTGTTACTGTCATTATTATTATTATTGATATTATTATTGTTGTTGTTACTGTTATTCTTATTATTTTTGTTATTATTATTATTATTGATATTATTATTATTATTGTTATTTTTATTACTATTGTTATTGTTATTATTATTAATATAGATTACTGTTATTCTTATTATTATTGTTATTATTATTATTATTATTATTGCTATTTTTTGTTATTATTATATTGTTATTATTATTATAATTAGTATTGATATTGTTATTATTATTTTGATTGTTATTATTATTATTATTGTTATTATTTTTATTAATATTATTGTTATTGTTATTATTATTTTTATTGATATTATTATTATTATTTTTAATGTCATTAATATCATTATTATTATATTTATTGTTATTATTATTATTATTGTTATTATTATTATTGTTGTTGTTGTTATTATTATTATTATTGTTATTGTTATTATTATGATTAATGCTATAGTTATGATTATTGTAGTTGTTATTATTGATATTTATATTATTATTATTATTGTTATTGTTATTAAAATTATTATTGTTACTGTTATTGTTATTAATATTGTTATTGATATTGTAATTATTATTCTTATCGTAATTATTATTATTATTGTTATTGTTATTAATATTATTCCTGTTATTGTTATTATTATTATTATTGCTATTTTTATTATTATTGTTATTGTTATTGTTATTATTATTGTTATTGAAATTACTATTGTTACTGTTATTGTTATTATTATTGTTATTGTTATTGTTTTTATTATTGTTATCGTTATAATTATTGTTATTATTGTCATTGTTATTAATATTATTCCTATCATTGTTATTATTATTATTATTGTTAATTTTATAATTATTGATATTGTTACTGTTATTATAATTGTTATTGTTATTATTATTACTATTGTTATTGTTATTATTATTATTATTTTTATTGTTATTTTTATTATTATTGTTACTGCAATTATTATAATTTTTGTTATTGTTATTATTATTGTTATTGTTACTGTCATTATTATTGTTATTGATATTATTATTGTTGTTGTTACTGTTATTCTTATTATTTTTGTTATTATTATTATTATTGTTATTATTATTATTATTGTTAATTTTATTACTATTGTTATTGTTATTATTATTAATATAGATTACTGTTATTCTTATTATTATTGTTATTATTATTACTATTATTATAGCTATTTTTTGTTATTATTATATTGTTATTATTATTATAATTAGTATTGATATTGTTATTATTATTTTGATTGTTATTATTATTATTATTGATATTATTTTTATTAATATTATTGTTATTGTTATTATTATTTTTATTGATATTATTATTATTATTTTTAATGTCATTAATATCATTATTATTATATTTATTGTTATTATTATTATTATTGTTATTATTATTATTGTTGTTGTTGTTATTATTATTATTATTGTTATTGTTATTATTATGATTAATGCTATAGTTATGATTATTGTAGTTGTTATTATTGATATTTATATTATTATTATTATTGTTATTGTTATTATTATGATTATTGATATAGTTATGAATATTGTTGTTGTTATCATTGTTATTGATATTGTTATTGTTATTATTAATGTTATTGTTATTGATATTATTATTGTTAGTTATTATTATTGTTATTGTTATTGTTGTTATTATTATTATTGTTATTTTTATTGTTATTGTTATTGTTATTATCATGATTATTGCAATAGTTATGATTATTGTGGTTGATTTTATTGTTATTGTTACTATTACTATTATTGTTATTATTATCATTACTATTGTCATTAATATTATTATTATTATTGTTATTGTTATTATAATTATTTATTATTACTATTATTTATTTTCATTTTTGTTGTTATTGTTATTATTATTGTTTATGTTATTGTTATTTATAATTATTATTGATATTACACCTTGTGGCGAGAGTCGCAGGCTGGCTAGTGATCGAGGATTATACCGGGAGCGATCATCAGTACATCCTATTCGATGTACATTATAGAAGGCCAGCCGTGACAAGTGTAAAGCGACACCCCCGGTGAAATATTGCAAGAATGGATTCAGAGAGGCTGTCTTCGGTCATGGAGGAAGGATGGAGATCCCAACAAAATACTTCCGCGAGTCTGTCGCCAACCGCATAAACCAGGTTGATTAGAGCAGCAACCATGCAGAGCATCCAAAAGGCTTGCGCGATAGCGGTGCCAAAGAATGGCACGAAACGACAGAGGCGTCCTGTATACTGGTGGACGAACGAGATCGCAGATCTTCGTAAGAAGTGCTTAAGGCTACGCAGTTTAGCACAACGAACGAAGAGACGCGACCACGACGCTGCTCCTTTGGCCGCAGACTATCAAGCGGCCAAGCAAGCCCTGAAGAGGACCATCAAGGCCAGTCAACGATGGTGTTGGAAGGAACTGTGCCTGGATGTCGACCAGAATTCGAGGGGATTAGGGTGCCTCCTCGTCACTCGCAAGATGGGGACTAACACGCAAGGAATCCCTCAGGATGCGAGGACGTTGGAAACATCATTCATACCCTATTCCCCTCACATCCGAAAAGAGAGATTCGCACGGCGACGCCAGGTAGCCCTGAGGGGCCGCAATTTACTGAGGAAGAACTACTAAAGGCTGCATCATCTATGCGGAACAAGAAAGCTCCAGGATCTGACGCCCTTCCAGCTGAAGTAATGAAAGCCATCGCGCAGAGTCATCCCAAGCTCTTGCTAAACATGTACAACATGTGTCTCAGGGAGGGCATCTTCCCCGCCCAGTGGAAGAACGCCAGACTTGTGCTCATAAGCAAGAGTAAACGTCCAGCAGATGCCGCTTCCTCATACAGGTCTATTTGTATGCTTGCTACAGTTGGCAAGCTCCTGGAGAATCTGCTTAGACCACCGCTGCACGCAGCCTTAAGGGCAGCGGGGGATCTTGCTGCCCGCCAGTATGGATTCCGATCCGTCCTCTCCACCATCTAGGCAGTCCAGGAGGTCGTGACGGCCGCTAAAATGTCGGAGCGAGGGAACCATCTAACTCGCCCTTTGTGTCTGCTGGCCGCCTTAGACGCGAGAAATGCTCTCAACTCCGTCAGATGGGACTTGGCAATGGAAGCGCTCGAACGTAATTTCAGCGTCCCGGAGTACCTTCTCCGAATACTCGGGGACTATCTGGACGATCGCATCCTAGAATACAGTACTGGCGATGGTCCAAGAAGATTGGAGTTAACATCGGGGGCAGCCTAGGGCTACATACTGGGACCGGATATCTGGAATATTTTCTACGACGGTATCCTACGTATGGCAGTCTCTGAAGGCGCTTTCTTGGTTGGGTATGACCTTGCAGTTGTCATAACCGCAAGAGACACGGAGGGGGCACAACTTCTACTCATCCAGGTCATGCGCAGAATCACCTTTTGGATGGAAGACCACGGGCTATCTCTGGCAGCCCAGAAGACACAGATCGTGATACTTACGAAGAAGCGCATCAACACCTTGCGTAGCTTCATTGTAGGAGACACGGCGTTCCAGGCTAAGTCGGCTGTCACATATCTGGGTAGAATGCTCGACAAAAACCTTAATTATGGCGAGCACTCACTCAGGGCTGCCGACGCGGCAAAAGTATTATCCTCACTTAGCACAGTCATGGCAAACGTCAACGGGCGCCGATCGTGCAGGACGCGACTACTGATGCGTGCCGCCGAAGCAGTGATGCTGTACAGCGCTGAAGTCTGGGCCGAAGCGCTGCAAAAGGAGAAATATCGCAAGCGCATCGCCGCCGCACAGAGGAGGGGTGCTCTCCGAATCGCATGCTCCTACCGCACGGTCTCTGAGCCCGCGGTGCTAGTGATCGCGGGGGTAATCCCGATCGATCTATTAGCCCAGGAGAGACAATTCGTCCACCAGCAAAGATGTGTTCTGGGAAAGGAGGAGGCATCAAGGCTCGCCAAGTCTACCAGCATCGGGACTTGGCAAAACAGATGA